GCCCAGAAGTCCGTCTGGGTAAGTACCACCTTCTTACTGATTTTCTATTATTGAATAGAAATAATTATGTTCTATTCTATTCTTATCTATTACTGCCACTTAATAGCAGTGTTCTTACTGCTGCGTTCCGGTTGGGAATAGAGAGCCAGTATACTTACAGGCTGTAAGGGATTCCATCTTAGTCCTCAAAGGTGACAACGCATTTTTAGCCTTCCTCCTTTGAAGTTGGCTGCAGATGTCTATAGACTGCAGTAGCCACTAACCATCGCATGGACTGCAATATCGTTTGTCACTTCAATTTTATAAAAAAAGCCTATTACAATACACAAGTGACGATTCATTTACGCCGCATTGCATATATAGGTAACTTAGCCCAGGTTACCGTTAAATGCAATTATGACCGATTACCGATTTTCGGTTCTTGTCGTGGTCGATTTGCATCTAAATATGGAGTATAAACTATTTTTCTCTTATTATGTTATAGCTTTAGGAATAATGTAATAAATAAGTACATTAAATATGCGTATATCGTGCAGCTCCTAGGTCATGGCACCATATAAGGTAGAAGAACTGTTTTGAGTAATTGTGTAAATCTATTATTGCATTAATAGTTCAATTACATAATACAAGTTTATTATACATAACACAAGTTCAGTATTTATCGGCTACTGGTTAAGTGTCATAAAATTACACTTTCAAATATTACTGATTAGCTGCCATTAAAGGCAAAGGAAATTCCATAAGTTCATTAATAATAATATTTAAAATGTAAAAATTCATGTTTGTTCATTCGTATTTTATGCACTGCAATACCGTTCATCAGATTGGCATATGTAGTTATAGGCATAATACAATTAACTTACAGTAGGCGGCACGCGTGTCTTACCAACAAATTTATTTGAAAGTTATAGTATAGATCATTCAATTTCAATAAGTTTAAATAATATAAATGTTCCAAATTTAAAACCACATTTCCACAATAATTATCTGTGGTAGCAACTAGGTACTACTAAAGTACGTAAGGGTAATAAGATCATCCGGTTAATATGGTCACTGTTTTAAAACTCAAAAACTACAGCCTTGTTAGTATAGGTGGCTCTGTAATACGATAGCTCTGTATCAGTCAATCAATTATTAAAGGGTCAAAATGGCGCTGCTTTTTAGACGCCATTTTGACAGCTGACAATATAGTAACAATTTTAGTATTGTGTAGTGTAGTTAGTTTTTTATAAATTGATTTTTCGAAGTGTTCCTAATTATTGACAAAGCGTGTTTGCTATTTTTTTTTTCTAAATATATTAGTTCTAGTATACAACTTTGTTTTTGTCTCTGTTCTCATCCTAGCTTTGGTTTTATAGGGCGGCAATGCTTAAGGTGGAAGCTCCATCAATACAACCGTCTATGTTCGTATAATTCCAATGTATGGCTATTTTCAGAAAAACTCATTCAAAGGAATTATACGAACTTAGGGGGTTGTATGGATGATTATAATGATTATAATTCTGTAAATACCTACTCGTTACGCTCGCGAATCATATTTTGTTAAACATACAACCTGACACTGACCTGCAAATTGCAAAAACGTAAGAATATTTTAATTTTCGCTTCGCTTCGAATTTAATAATAAATATTACCCTCATGTTAGTTTTAAATAAAAACTAGTTGGCTTGACTGACGTTCTGTGCTTTCCGGTATGTGGTGCGATGAGTATCACTCCGAATTCACTCTGGAATTTTTACAGTGTAAATATAAAATTTGTTAATAACTCGACCATAGCCTATTGGGTCTAGATTTTATGATTTTATTTTCTGACACTCAATCAACATATCTAACCAACAACAAGAGGATCAATAGCCAGAAATACATAATTTGCTAATAACTTGTCTACAGCGTCATTATCGGATCCTAATGTAAAGCTATGAACCATCGCATTGACGAAGCAAATTTATTGTTTGAATTAACCTCAATCGGTGAAGTCGTTCAGAAGTTATGTGATCACTAACAGACGTACAAACGATTAAATATAAAGATTTGTTGCCATAATATTTATTCCTTTTATTTAACTTAACTGTTTGCCCTCGTTCATAATGCGTAAGCAAAGGATTGAAATAGTTTACGTGGTAGAGCCATGCTGCAGCTATATTAATTGTATAGTTCAGCAGAATGGGTCGGCTCGACCGGGAAAGGACTACGCTCTTACAGAATACCAACGTAAAATAACAACTTAATGCTGCTGTGTTTCGTATGGTAAGTGTAGAGAACCGGAGACCCTTTTTACTGGAAAAGAGGCATTCCATCTTAGTCCTCATGGCTGACAACACATCTGCATTTTGATTCGCAAACGAGGATAAATGTAGATGTCTATGGGCCACAGCAACCACTTACCATCAGGTGGGCTGTGTGCTCGCTTGTCACCCTATCCTTTAAAAAAGATTCTAAATTGTAGAAAGTTGTACTTAAATATCTAAATAATATTTAAAAAAAATTCACGCTGGTGTTTTTAGAATTTCCCCGGTTGAGCTTGGGCCGACTCATTCGTGGTACAACGATATAAATAAATTATTATTTATTATTTATCTATAAGCAATCGATAGGGTATCACTGGTATCACTGTAGATTCCATATCAATGAACGCTTAACGGTTCTTATACTTGAATGCACCTCACCACATATTAAATTCCTTACGATCTGGGATGAATTTCCACATGTTCGTGGGTCGTGTGATTGTGTTTTTTTAAATATTAGAAACATAATAAAATGTGATATTTTGGCAGAGTGGCCGTTTACCACAATTAAGATACAAAAATGTGGATATTAACTTAATTTAGTGCAACTAACTGAGTGGAGCTATGTTGGAATCACAGACAGAATTTTATATTACTCGGGGTGCATAATTCCAGTGAGACTTTTTGACCAAGTTGTCGTTACGTACACGCGTTTAATTGATATAGTTATTAGGATAAAGTCAGCTTCTATGTCATCTTCTATTATAAAATAATATACATAATCTTAAAACGGTGACGCATCAGTGGTTAGGGCCAAAAATTGGTAAAAAGGTGGTACCTACTTAGACAGACTTTTAGGCAGAAAAAAAAGGTCAGAAGAAATTCTAACAGCTTTTGACGATATCTGCTTGAAAACTGTGCCGTGATTTTGTCAAACCAGCTGCGTTTTTTATATTTTTTAAAGATTTTTTTGTTGAAACCTTGATGGATAGTCTCTGTCTATCCGTTTGAGCTGTAGAGCGTTCTGCGTACAAAACAAACACTCCCCTTTGTATTATACAACTCGGTTAAGTTTGTAACTCTCGCCGATGACGTCATATTGGCGCCTTGCTACGGTTCGCAAAAAAGGCGTCACTTTGAAACATATACTTTACAGACATTTTACTTAAATACATTTCAACTTGTACAATTTAAATTATCTGATAGAGGTTTCTCATTTCAGTGAGGTGCAAACTTAGCCTCAACCGAGGTATAGACACAGAAATAACATACTATTCTGAGTAGGTTGAGTACAGTTCTCCGGCCACTTAAATTGTTTACCACGCGCCTCGCACAACACTCTGTACTCGGGCATAAGTGGCGTTTATGAGTGACAAGCGTGAAGCGAGGCTTCTCTTGAGTGGCAGTTACTCAAAATGCAGATGTCATCTACACAGGCTAGGTTTACCTTTACCGTTACCGTTACAGCCTATTACATAATATTTTGATACTAATTTCGTACCTATTCTCATAATATCTTCACCAATACAGCTGGGCACAGCCAACCTCTCATTTTGAGAGTATTATGAAACAAATAATCCGCTGCGCAACTGGTGAATTTCATAAGTTCTTTTTTTTTATAGAATAGGATAACAAACAAGCACACAGTCCACCTGATTGTAAGTGGTTGCTGTGGCCCATAGACATCTACACCTATCCTCGCTTGCGAATCAAAATGCAGATGCGTTGTCACCTGTGATGACTAAGATGGAATGCCTCTTTTCCAGTAAAAAGTGTCTCCGATTCTCTACACTCACTATACGAAACACAGCAGTGTTAAGCTGCTATTTTACGTTGGTATTCTGTGAGAATGTGGTCCTTCCCCGGTCGAGCCGAACCATTCGTGCTACAACTATGCTACTAATATATAGCTGTAACATGGCTCTACCACGTATAAGTCCTCGAAGTACTTGTTTTTTAAATTGTTAAATCAGCACTTTAAATAGCAACTGACAATTTTTCATTGGTGTCTGCGGGAATCGAACCCGGGTTGCTCGCGCATTGTGAAATTTACTTCAAGCGCTTAGCCCAGGGGCTACCAAGGCACCACAAAATAACAAAAACAAAGCTTAAATTTTTAGCAAGGGATACCCTGCTGCGTCAGTCATATAAAACCTGTCTAAGAACCGATGCTAAAATGATCACAAAATCTTTTTGCGACGAAAGGAGAAACTTGCAGTTTTATTTTTAGACGCGGCTATACTTTCTCGGGATTTTAAAATGAAGCCTAGCGAGATCAAGATCAAGTTTATCTCATCAATGTACTGTTATCAAATCTCTCAAACTTCACACTTTTAAATTATTTAAGATTATTTTAATACGAATAACTACTCCATTTGACTCGATATGTTCTTATTTTCAGCTTTTTTTAATTCTTTTTTTTTACTATTCTAAGCCAGTACTTGACATCTACTATTCCACCTGATCGTAAATGGTGATGCATTGGTAGATTGAAAAGCGAAATACTTAAATAAATAATAACTTTTTATTCGTAAATTAAGTAAAAAAATATGAGATTGAAATTTTAAATGTTTATTATTTTCTGTTGTTTAATGTTATCGCATAACGTATAATGTTAAAGTATATTTTAGGCCTTAAAATCTAAACAAGTTTACCTAAAACATTAACCCACTTAAAAGCAAATTTTCAAGTGGGAGGAAATTTGTTGCAACTGCACTGTAAAATAATTAACTTGAATAAATACTTGCAAAATTATGTAAATAATGCTTTACTTACGTGTTCGCCATGACAGCTTTTGCTAACACTAACTAAGCACAGCTAAAGGGATTAAAAATGTCAGCTAATGCTAATAAGAACTAAACAAATGTCAATTTTGTTCAGTTCAAATAATTCTTAAACACAGTGTTCTCTATCAAAATTTTGTATGTATTTATCATCTGCCCATTGTTCACGAAGTATAAAAAAGAAACACTGGCAATTTAAATGGAATTTATGGAAAAAAGTGGACTGTCACTTTTGAATTTCGAATTAGGCGCGCGCGGCAATCTGTCCTTCAAGCGCGAGAGCGTCTACCGTCTATTCCGTATGACCGCCGCAATCAAACTGTGTTTCGCGCCATCCACCACCTGATTTAATATACCGCGAAAATATAATATACACATATGCTTAATATCATATCCGTTTCAATACAGATAAATAAGATCGAAGTGTCTGTCCGTTATATTCACGTTGTTTTTACGTGGTAGAGCCAAGGTGCAGCTATATTAGTAGTATAGTTGTAGCACAAATAGGTCGGCTCGACCGGGAAAGGACTACGCTCTCACAGAATACCAGCGTAAAATAGCAGCATAACGCTGCTGTGTTGTGTATGGTGAGTGTAGAGAACCGGAAACCCTTTTTAATGGACAGGAGGCATACTATCTTAGTCCTCACAGGTGACCACGCATCTGCATTTTGGATCGTAATCGAGGATAGATGTAGATGTCTATGGGCCACAGCAACCACTTACTGTCAGATGAACTGTGTGCTCGTTTGTTAGCCATATACAATAAAACGACACATTCAGCTTACCGAATTGTTATGTTTACTACCTGGGATGTGTTTAAAGTCAGTCTACATGCTTATTTAACTATTTGCCAATCGAAATTTAACGACAGTTAAAGTATGGTAGCAGCGTAATACAATCCCACCCATAATTCTGTTCCCTAGACAATTATTTTTAACAGGACGAATAAACAAATGAACAAAAGGGAATATACAGCGGTTATATATATGACAACTAAACACTACAATAAAAGTTATGTTATTTATATAAAGTATCCTATGTATAAAATGTAAAATACTTATTTTGTTGACGCACTGGCTTCGTTACAAGAATTGTATATAAAAACCAGAAATAAGAGAGAAAGAGAAAGAGAAAGAAGTCTGAGCATGGATTATAGTGCACATGGATACTTCCTATTCTCTCATTCTTATAGTCTGATGGTAATCTGACACGACCGGAGTGAGATCAGGCCCAGGATCAACGGCTTTACGTGCTTTCCGAGGCACGGGAGTGAAACACCGCCACCTTCCTAATTTCGACAACTAGACCAACATAGCAATAATTTTCTTTTTTTTTATATTAGACCGATAAAAGAACTAATATTCCAAAAAAAAGACCGGCAACGCACCTGCAATTCCCTGGTGAGCCGCATTCTCGTTTGCCCCCTCTTCTACAAAAAAGACGATAACATTTGGCTACTACTCTCCATTAACACCCGCATCCGACCTCAAAAACAAACGATGAAGACAGAAGTATTGTACCCTTATGGACTAACATGTAATGCCTCGTAAGTTATAATTATACTGGATTTTACTCTTTAAACCGAACACAAAAGTGAGAAGATTCAGTGTTGCTTGACTTAGACGTGACTTCTTAACAAACTTAAGAGGATTGAATAAGGACTCCTAAGCACAACGTATTTGACCTACAAACAAGTGGTAAAATTAAAAATGTTGTACAACCGACTTCAATATAAATTATTAAGGATAACTCAAAAACTAAAAGTTAGACCTTGATCAATATGGGACCATATGAGAAGCAGTAACTTTGAAATAAAAAAAAGAATTATCGAAATCGGTTCACATACATAAAAGTTATGAGGTAACACACGAAAAAAAGATATATAGTTGAATTGAGTATCTCCTCCTTTTTGAAGTCGGCATATACCTAAATGTTCCGGGTCTAGATCTTTATCCATGTGCAATTTATGTATTTAAAACGCCTTCACTATACTGAAGGAATTCCTAGAGCATAGAGATAATGTTTTAAAAATTAAAAATAATACTTTACTCTAAGATTTTATTTAAAAACCTAAGTTAAAAATTAATAAAATCTCATAAATCGACCCAATAAAAATCTAATCTTTTTTATCTTCTTCTGTTATCTTTAAATGCACTACTTTATAGGGCCTTTTCAAGAATACACACTATATTATGACGAAAAGTTTGCTAATAACTTTACTGTGCAGGCGCGTTGGAATCCCTATTAGCACAAGCGTACTCTCCGTCGTAGAACATAATCGTACATAGCAGTGCTTAAACTGCCGTGTTCCGATCTAAAGGGTAGGTATATAGCATAGACTAAGAATATACTTAGAGAGACAGTATTATTACAGGCAGTGAGTGACACTCAGAGGTGACAACGCATCTGTAGCGTTCCTTATTTGAAATTGGTAAGTTTTTTTAATAAATGGCTTTACGGCTCTGGGATCTAGCCCTTCTGAGCCTGAAGTTACAATATATTACAATTATCCTTCATAGTATACTGCATCACAATATGTTGATGCGTCACATTGTGCAGCCTTTGGGACACCTTATTTTGAGAGTCACATCACCATCAGATCACTTGTTTCACAGTTTGCACTAATAGCTTATATGCTCAAACACATAAAATCGCACCACTTTTACATATCAAAGTCCAGTTCAAACCATTATTTAAACAATAATACAGGAGCAGCAAACCGTCGCCGGTCAAGTTCCCGCCAAAAACCCAATCGGTAAATTCATTTGTCACTTCCAAAGAGTATATAATCACTACGTTTACCCATTTCGTTTTATTAAAAAAATAGAGCAGAAACACAGTGTAGTCTGATGTCATTATGAAGTACCTACGTGTAGCAAACATTACAACTTTGAAAGCTCTATGAAGTGTATAAATAGAAATGAAATTAAATCGGTTGCTCTTTTTTTATTAAAATGTTAACAGTTCATTGTATCTACAAATGTACCTATGTACTTATGTATCAGCCCAGCCTAGCGATCAATAATTCCATTATAAATGTAAAAGTTAAAATTTTGTCCATTAGTCACACCTGAATGGATTGATCGTGCACAAAATCTGATGATAATTGGCAAAGAAGTCGCTTATGTCAGGACATAAGACACTTTTTAAAAAAAAAAATTACTAAAGGTAAATTTACGCCCAGCCACGTAGGCGAGTAACAGCCAGTATCAAATAATATTAAAGTTTCCTCCAACTGTCAATTTCCACAGTGACAGATTACAATTAATTATTTCCATGAAAATTGAACCTTGGTCTGTTTTCTAAAATTGATTTGACGTGAACAAAATTACAGGTGCCTTGTGGATATGTTTGAACTGGAGGTAACGTCTCGATTTAAAAACATGATTCATGAATGATGAATCTATACGTCACATAAGTTTACTCATAGCAGCAAATTCATGAGATAACGCATACTGAATGTCATTTGTAGCCAAAGCACGCCTTACAATATTTGGTATTACTGGCAGCTAAGAATGCATCTTTAAAAATAATGATTTATTATTGAAAAAAAAATTCATTTAAAAAAAATAACACACGCTTTTTACATAGTAATCGGTACTAACGTTAAACAGGTAGTCTTTTTTTCTTAATGTTATTTTTTATTATATACTAGCTGACCAGGCAGACGTTGTTCAGCCCTTTCCGACGGCCCTTCATATAAAAAATCCTTAAATTCGTAATAAAGAAATATTGAGGGTCACTTATCGGAATAAAAACTATCCTATCTCTCAAGTAGGAACAAACTGCACATAGTGTGCAAATTTCATTGAAATCAGTTCAGTAGTTTAGGAGTTCATCGCGGACAAACAATGTGATACGTAATTTTTATATATAAAGATTTTTTTATATATAGGATAGAGTGAAAAATGAGCACACAGTCCACCTGATGGTAAGTGGTTACTGTGGCCCATAGATATCTACATCTATCCTCGTTTGCGAATCAAAATACAGATGCGTTGTCACCCGTGAGGACTAAGATGGAATGCCTCTCCAGTAAAAAGGGTCTCCGGTTCTCTACACTCACAATACGAAAGACAGCAGTGTTAAGCTGCTATTTTAAGCTGGTATTCTGGGAGAGCGTGGTCGTTCCCCGGTCGAGCCGACCCATTCGTGCTACAGCTATACTACTAATAGCTGCACCATGGTTCTACCACGTATAAATATTATTTTAGAAGTCAATATAATATGCATGTTATATTAAACAATTTTGCCAGTTTTAATGAAATATAATTCAAGTATCCAAGTGACGGTAAATGAAACTGCGCAGTTAGCCAAGCTGACTTTCTACAATCAATGACAATAAAAGACAACCTTAAGTTATGTGACAGTCAAGTAATTTAACGATGCTATCTTTAATTTTTATAGTTCTCTGTTGACGTTACAGATTGAAGAAAATGGTTGAAAATAGTTTATATCACTTTACATAAGTACTCGTATTCTAATTACGTGACAAATATTCAAGTTTTACAAGACTAAAACCAAAGATGGATAAGAAGAATAAATTTAAATAAATAAATATTTTTTTGATATACTAGCTGATACCCAGCGCGTTGCAGCCGCAGAATAAATAATTGTGGAAACATCGTTTTAAATTTGGAAGGGTTATTCTTTAATAATTATAAATGATAAAACATTCATTGAAGTTTAATGATACATAACTTTCAAATAATACTATACTTTCAAATAATTTTATACGTGGTAGAACCATACTGCAGCTATATTAGTAGTATAGTTGTAATACGAATGGGTCAGCTCGACCGGTGAAGGACCACGCTCTCACAGAATACCAGCGTAAAATAGCAGCTTAGCATTACTGTGTTTCGTATGGTGAGTGTAGAGAACCCTTTTTACTGGAAAAGAGGCATTCCATCTTAGTCCTCACGAGTGCCAACGTATCTGCATTTTGATTCTTTATTGAGGATGGATGTAAATGTCTATGCGTTACAGCAACCACTTGCCATCGGGTGGACTGTGTGCTCGTTTGTCACCCTATCCTATAAAAAAATTCGCGCGCCACCTACTGTAAGTTAATTGTACTATGTAATAAAACTTTTACCGCACTTTGACGAAGGGTATGGTAGAATCAAATTATTTAAGAGCTTAGGGAATTATTTGTTTTACTACGGAAACGTCTAACGACTCTGTCAGTCCTGATAATCAGTATATGCACTCTTCTAAAATTATATATAGTCACAAGCTGCCGCGATATTTATATCACCGTTGGCACCAACGAAATTATTAATTGCAATTGTTTTGGCTGTATTATTTACTACGTTTTT